AAACGTTACAGCATAAGTGCTTATGGTTGGACTTAAGGGAGACCGTGACATCCATTTAGAAGTAAAAAAAACTGGAAACAATAGGAGACATAACAAGAAATTTAAAAAAATAGGAAGACGTTCTCTTTTCTTTGTAGTTCGAATCCGAAACTAATACAAACTGTTGCTAAAGTAGAACAAGGCTAAATACGCCAAGTGCATTATAATACACATTTTCCTCCTATTTCGAAAATTTCATTCATCTTTTTTTTTACGGTATTATTTTAAACGTACTCTAACTCATTCACTTCTGTATAATTTCCTGTTTATAAACGTGCCTTCACGTTTCTTGTCGTTTTTATTCCAGAGCAATAATTAAAGAGTATGGAAAATGAGTGCCTTGATGTCCCGAGTTCCTTTTTAAGTCTCTCCCATTAAATACATTACCTCTAAGTACAAATGCTAAAATACTGTTTTTAAATAATTATTTTCGTTTTACTTGACGAGGTAACCAGTACTCAATCCTTGTGAAGTAAACCGAATTTCAGACCTATTCGACTGTATCGTCGCCGGCTTGTCAAAGCCTCTAATTGAAACGTACAACAAAAATAATATGGTTCTTATAAATCAAGACGGAGAAAGAGTTACATTTACTTGTGTGAAGATTTAATTTTGTTAAATATTGACCGACCACGTGAACTCTCCTACGAATCTCTTGGTTTAGGATATAGTTTGGCCGTCTTCGTTTTCTACATTTTTACTTTCAAGATGATTTAACATGAGTTTTTTCTTTCACGTTACTCTAACTGTCGTACTTAGTCATATTTTATGTTTAGTGAAATTATAGTATGCCTATAGTGTGACAGAATAACCACATTATGCGACTTACTTCAAAAAAATTGAGTATTCATGTTTACATTATTCAGTTATGCGTTCTGTGAAATTCTTGTTGCAAATGAACAAACACAGAGCGATTCGGCATTCGTTTACCCGTAAGTATTTAATCAAAACTTTGAATTCTTACCATGGGTTAAACTATTGTTTTACTTTTCAGCACTCGTTTGGAATTTAATTACAGTGGAACTTCATACATGCGGTAGGTACACATACAGTGGTAATATTAAGAGAATTTGATTCGTGTGCACGAGATACGCCTATTACATAGTTTTGTAAGGGTGAAAGAACAAAAAAAGGTAGTAATACGATTGACGGGGTCACCACTTTTCCCCTCGCACTCTTTAAAATATCATATACAAAGAGTTACATGTCTATATTTCTACATTGAAAATGAAACGGACACGACGTATTCTTTGTGAACGAGTATGAACAAACTCACTCGAGTTCTCTAAGCTTAAATATATTATATATATAAAAAAAAAAACGTTAATAATCCGGGCAACATAGTTGAAATAACTATTTATAAAAAATTAAAAATTTCATAAGAATTGAATAGCAACACAGCTCATATACATTATTTCGATTCAAAAAGATACAAATAGAACTACAAATAGTTAACAAAAAGAAAAAGTACACGATTTTAATGAAAATTTCTTTACAAATTTAAACGTCATTGTTTAACCGAAGACAAATTATACCTGTTACTTAATAATTGCTGAGCGAACATGAAATTGTAGATTTTAAACGCCTTCATCACTTATGATGTGCAATATTAAAGTAAACTCTTAAAAACAGATCTAAAAAGATTGAACCATTTCTGTTAAAAAAAAGTTGCCTAAAATGTTGCTGCCGTACATATTTATGGGTTTCTTTCAGAAAAAAGTAGAGCTACACATTTCATTTATTAATAGAAGAATTCCCTGTAGTCATATAATACGCTGAGTGAGAGATACAGTCATAAACTTTTAAACAATACTATAAAATGAAAACGATGTATATAGTTTTCTTAAAAGCTTGGCTAGTGACAAGGTAAGCAATTCGCAGTGAAATTGATGATTAAAAGTCTCGTCTGTATCGAGTTATTTAAATAAAAAATGCGTCCGCATTAACAACCTTACTAATTAGGGTGCCCACATATGATACATGTCCATTCATATAAAAAATATATAATTTTAATAACGGTTTGACTCGTACTAAGCTTTTTAAAAAAAAAAAAGTTAATGGTTACAATTTAGCATTCACAATTTGTTTAGTTAATGCCGTAGAAGTCGTTTAAAAAAATAAAATAATAATCATCATTAACGAATTCGGAATTTGAAACAATGTGATGGCAGGGGTATTAAAAAATAACGACGTTCCAGTATAAAAATGCGTCATGAGTGCTTTTCTTTCATATCATCGTCTTGTTTCTCATATTATTTATTTTTTATTATTAACTCGGCGAGAACCAGAAATACCTATGCTATTTTCATCTCTGTGTTCGTCCGACCATGCCACCATGAAAAATAACTTTTTATATACGATTAAATGTTTTAATGTTATTTTTTTGTTCTGATGATACAAATTCCAAGCGAAGGCGTAAAGACTCATATTTATCGATTATTTTCGCTTTGCATTTGTTTTTACTTCTACGTTATGCTTCAACACTGTGTATAAATGAATTTTTTATGTCAACTCGTATAAATAAAATAACTTAATAAATTTACGTGCGTGCACACCTAACAAGTATCTTATTAGAGAAAGAAACATTCGACCTATTAGTTTTACATTATTTTATTGCTATATTAAAATAACATGCAAATAAATATCGGCATGAATATTCTAAGCTCATAAAACATATGCACGGTGATACTAAGAATACACAGTTATTTAAATGGGCTTATTATTTTTGCTATTTATCGCTAATAGATTACAAGTAATCCCTAGAAATATATTTTAAATGTGTTTCTAGTTTTTTCACTTCGTAAACAGTATTTTTTTTTATGGATTATCTTTTATTTGTACTCAAAACAAACTGCTATATACTTTGTGTATTCCAAATTGTGTTTACCCACATACTGTTACAGCGATAAAACCATAAAATTTATTTATATAAAAAAAAAAAAAACCGCTCAATGACCTCAACGCATCCATTAGCATTACAGTGATAACTATTGAATATGTCGAATGGCATTTGTTACACGATACCAAAGTATAAAATTTTTAGTTATTATGTCATACAGTTTATAACTCAGTGGGTAAATTCGAATTATGAACACTATTAAACTAATTGAATACGTTCTCAATGTCGGTACATCCCTTTGAGTTTTTATCAGTGCGTTATCAGCCTCGTGCCATCAGTGTCTCGTATACAAACATGTAGATCTGTCTTGATTACATCAAAAAATACTGGAGCCTTTAGAAAACCGAGGGCGAACTATAATTTGACAAAAAAGAAGATGGATAGACGATAAAGCAATTCGTTACCCTTTAGTTCCCAGTGGTCGACGTGTTGATGGTCCCCGACATTATTATCAAAGGTTGCACACAGATATGCAAATTTTGAAATGGAAGGATTACATCCCAACCCTCCTGTCTGCTGCGCTAACTCGCTAGCAAAATGACGAGTCTGGTATCTGTATCTCGACGTAACGGTGACTGGTTGTTGCCATTAATTTTTAAAACTCAATTGATGTTGTGCAAATGCCGTTGAGGCAGCGGACATCGGTATACCGAGTAATACGAACACGTGAACAAAGCAAAAGGCATGAAGAACCGTGTTGTGTGGCGGGGAGGAAAATGATTCCCCTACAACGGGGCTCCCGAGGGACGTCGTGCCGAGCCGTGCGTACGGCGTACACATATATACACATTTCGTATGTATATAATGCCAGTCTGGAAGAAAATCCGACAGACGAGCTGCACGGGGTTCTCTAGGGATTCCTGTGCACTGTGTACTGTTACGGTTGTATGACGACAACGACGGTACGCGATGCAAGTTATAGACGGAAGAGAAAGCTTTAATTAGAGTTAGTGTTTGACTTTAAGTATGTATCGTATATACCTATTGGATCAATGTGAGGTTTAATTTTTCACTTGATTGTTCTCTATGCGCTCTTGTCAATATTTACCGGTTATTTGAAAAGAACTGACCAATTTGTCTATTGTAATTTCCATTTGCCAAGTAAAATGATGAAACTTGGGGTATTTTTTACCTTAAAAATCAGCACTTAATGCGTACGAGTGTACTTAGAACATACGAAATTTGTGAAATATTTACTCATTTTATTACTTTTATTTTTAAATTTATTTGTTCTCGTTAACTAACTGAAGTTTAGTAGTTACCCCATTAAAGATTATTTAAATTAGTAAATTTATTTGGTACGTTTACAGAAGAAAAAGGTCATAACATAATAACAAACGTTACAATTTGAATAGGGTTTTTAACCCTATTAAACGTCTTTTAGGCACGGCTATGTTTCCCACGATTTATTCTCACATTGTACATATTAGTAAAGTCAGTTTTATGCTAAACAGGGCACACCAAAATATATTTATATGAAGACCTTGACAAATTATATCACCGTTTTACACTTGTACGGTAAAGATTCAGTAATTATTACCCTATTATAATGTAGATTAATAATGTGTAATTCGAAAATAATTGTGAAAATAATATTAAATGTATGTATAAGAAATGATTAAATGTTAAATACAGTGACATAACTGTTGCAATACACCATGACAACTTTTCAGACCGCTTGCTTTTACAAGCAAATTAATTAGATAGCAGATTTTACGAGGAAAAAATACTGGAATTTTTGTTAGTAAAAAGATTGCTTATGTGATTGAAAATAAAACAGTTTTAAAAAGTTTCTTAAAAAATATTTTATTATGAATTCAGAGTAAAATCAATACCAAGTAAAAGCTAATATACATAATTATGTATTATATATAATTATTGTTTATTTATTGATAAGTAAAAATATAAGCCTAATTCAAAAGCATTATTAATTTTAATAATACATTGTAGAAAACAAAATGAATTAATCAAAAAAATGATTTTATGTAATTATTATCATTTTAAAACAAATAATTTCAATTTTGAATTAAAGTTACCCAAAATTTACTACACCATAATATACAATAGATGACATTAAAAGATAATTGTAGTCAACATTATATCTTGAGCATGTTCTTTTTTTATATATTAAAGAATGTATCTCAAAAAAAGGAACATTTATTTTCACCAACAAAATCGTGTATATTACATCTTTGTAGCCATTTGGCAATGTGCACGACTTCCTCACAAATCACTTAGGAAAAGAGTAATGTGACAAGCTTTCCTATTTTTTCGTGTCGTCTGCTATTGTTTTATTTAAACAATGTTATGTGTTCCAAATAGCGATTGAAAACCGTTAATTGTAATACAACCTGAACAAATTAGAAAAAAATACTAATTTTGTTGTTTATAAGTGTGTAATCGATTTAACTGTTTATTAAAATGTACAAGAACGTGTGTTAGAGGTGGAAATTATCGACACCAATAGCTTATCCCATAAGAATATTTGAAAGTTTTTTATTGTTAGTATTTTGACAAAACATGTGTCCAATGTACGTTCATTTTTTAATTATTATTATATATATTGTAATTTACCATAATTATCAGTTTCACTAATCGTTCGTGGAATATGTATAACCTTAAGATGGCTACTGTTAATTATTAGTTACAATTTATTGAACATCTTATAACATATTAATAAAAATCCACGAATAACGGAGGACATTAAATTTAACTATGCACTGTGAAACTATAAAAACTTTGTTAGGAATTTCACTATTTATGGATTTGTATGATTGGAGAAAGAGAAGTACAATGAGACACTTATAATTCAAAAGTGCTACAATGCAAACAAATTTAAAGATTTTTTTAATTAATTTAAAACTATAATAAAACAATAAAAAAATGCTTACTAAATTTAAATTTAATATTTTAATTAAAATAAAAATGACAAATGTTCCAATATAAGCTATCGGTTATCGACAATGAGACTAATAAGGGCAATAAAAATATAACCAATAATAAATTATTAACTTTTCCCATCCAAACTTTAAAATTCGGTTTATTTAAGCAAATTTTAGTTTCCTAGACTGCGTGTATTATTACCCAGACAATTTATGTTTGCATAGAGAGTAAATCGACAAAATAGATATGATCTTATTCTGTAGTAAATCCATTATACATAATGTGCATGTTTAATAACAAATTTAAAAAGAAATAGTTATTTTTTTTTGGTTTTGTATTTTTTTAATTGACAAATACTTACCAACATAATCATCAAAGCCGCAGAAAATACAAAGGCAAAAGTAGAAGCACCTCCTTAATAAAAAAAAGAGCAATTAAAAAATTAAAATTCATTAAACCGAATTAAAAATCCGATTTACAAATTTAATTTAAATAAAATTAATTATAAAACTAATAATAAAAATATATAATAATTTATTTTAATTATACAATGTCTTTTTAAATTTTAAGTACTACTTAAAATATGCGATATGGTAGTACACAATAAGACAAGATTGTTTTTATCTCGTTGTACTCCATTCAGTGGTTTACAGTTTAGAGCTTAAATAATTTATTTAATAATAACATTTATATTTTTATGTGTTTAAAATAAAGTAAAATAATTAATAATGCCACATGAAAAATATTTAAACTGTTAATAACAAAAAAGTTCAATTTTATATTTTTAGTTTTTATCTATAAAATAATGGTGATTTCGTTAAAAGCTGGGGGTGTTACCAATTTGTTTAAAATATTTTAGAACTCTTTAAAACATTAATTATCAAAAAGTATGTTTATAAATTGCTTTAATATATAATCAGGACTTAAAATCTTGATTGTCTTAATGTGTCTCACTTGTCCCCTCTCCCCTAGCCTTCAATTATAATTACACTAAAATATAATATCCTTGATAGTTGATGATTGATAAATTAAAAAAGTTAAATATATGTATCTTATTTTAATCTAATTAGTCGATTATATAAGTGATTTATAATAAAATAATCTCCTTGCAATAAATATAAATGTGATAATAATGTATATTTATCACATTTGTGTACATATTTAAAGTTTATTAATGTACAATTTGTTCAAAAAGGCATCCATATTAGTAAAATATTGAGTTGTTTAGTGTAGTAAATGTGAATAATTTATTTTTATTGCAAGCCATTTAGGTAATATATTTCAGATATCTGAGTAATTTAGGTGTTTTATTAATCTATCTGTGTTACTACTTTATACATTTGATTGCTTGTATTGATCTACATCTTCAGTATAAGAGTAAAAATGATTAAAGAAAATCTAAGATTGATTTTTAATTTAGGGTGAGATAATTAATTATAAACGTTTCCAAAGTACAATAAATATTAATATTGAAAATGTGTACATTTTTCATGCATGCATTATAAAAGTTTCGTATGAATTGAAAAACAGTGCAAACTATTATTTTTTCTTATTATTTAGTACCACTTGACATGAAATCTCTGAATTGCAACGAAATTTTTTTACAAACAACTATTGCGGTAGTTTGATTACTTGAATCCTTAAATGGTTATTCAAAAAATGTGGGATATGATTTAATGCATTTGTAATATTTCATTTATATTAGGAAATTAATAATATTATGACGGTTCTTCGAATAACATAATGTAGAATGCAAAAGAAAATCTCTGAGAATCGTTCAGAATTTTGAATCATGGAAATCCGAAGGAGTGGATTACTATTTCTAAATTGATGTATTACCTGCACATGGGATTATTCAAATGTAAATCATTACAAAGTTATAAATAGAATCTTATATACCAATGTTCAAAAATAATGTCAATAGTTATTTATTCATATCCATTATTTTCTAGTCTTCGTGCGATGAAAAAGCTATTTCGTGAATTTATTTTCATTATTTTGTCTAAAATATTTGCTAATATCATAGGATTTGATCTTAGGTTGTAGAAAATTTGATACTTTTACAGTACTCAGTCATTGCTTGTAAAAAACACAGACCTTTGGTTTCCGTAATGACGTTTAGTAAATGGTAGACGCGTTGTGCACAAGTCTATAATTGTGTCCAACTGTGAAAGCCGCCGCTATTATAATGTATTAATGTCTATCCTACAATTGACATTTACCGACTCCTATATACCAAATATCTTTTTCTGTTTCAATTTATTATATACAGTGGCGTACAAAAGTTATAAATATAAAACTAATATCAATTATTTTTCATCTATACGACTGTTATTTAAATTATGAGAATTCATACATACTTACTATAATACAATTCATTCCTTTTTTTGTCTTAGAGTAATAAATGTCCCATTAAATTATTTTTGAGGAAGCAGGAGGTTTTTAGTACTTTTATCTTGGTGAATTTCTCCTAATTTTTAAATTATACATATAAATACAATTAATATAAAGCTATTGTACTACTTAAAACCTCCTAACTTCATTATGCATTATCATTTAACATAAAATTCTTAAGAACTGTGTTTAACTATCGCCGTATAACAACTATGTACGTATTAAGTTTATAATGTTTGTTATACTATAATTTTATAGACAAATCGAAGTGCTCTACGTTCAGCAGATCAAATTATATAATAATAATTGACATTTATGTACTTTTTTGTGTATAGAACACTGGTTGCCTATAAAACACATCCAATGTTTTACATGCAAGCCGCGTGTACGTATGAAAGTGTCCTGTCATGTCGGTCACAGTGGTGGTATATAAACAAGACCCCCCGAGGAGACGAAGCAACTCTTTTGGGTTCTAACTTGCGAGCACTCATACAAATACGCGGAATTTATATGAGCCTCTAGGAAAAAAACACACACACTTATGGCCCGTGTCTTATAGCTATTGTTATGTTAAAATAGTATAATATAACATACGGGTTTGTTGGCCGAAAAGAACTACCAGACAAAACTTGTATATTAATATGCACGTCGACCGCCACTGTCTCTAAGTTGTTGTAGTCATAGTGGCTTTGGGTGTGAGCTATATATATAGAGACCCATCAAGAAATCAAAGAACCACACGATAAATATAGAGCTTATGAGACATTGCTCTAATGAAGCCGTCTTGGCTACCATATGAGAGAAACAAATATTTTATTTTCCAAGAAATATCTGGAGAACTATAGAATATATTATGGACAAAATAATAATTGTCTCTTTTGAACTGAAAAATATGTCTAATATTTTTATTCAAAACTATTTTGTATTATATTTTTTATATTCATACATTAATTTAATTACTTGGCAGTTAAAAATGGTTATAAGTTTCATTAATTTTGACTATTCGAAATTCTCGAATGTTCAAAGAAATTGTATATATTAAATAATGATATTGAAAAAAAAAATGTTTGAATGAGTTAGCTTTCACGCCAATTCCTAAAAAAAGAAAAAAAAATTCAATCTTAATTTTAATGTTGAATGATAAAATGAAAGTTAATAAAATAATAAATTTTATTTGATATCATCTTAGTTTGAATAAATCTTAAAATATGAATAAGCAAGTATAAATTATCAGGTGTACTATATTTAGAAGATAAATGTTTTTTATCGACTAAAATAATTTCCTGGTATATTCATTATATGTAATTTGTAATATTAAATAAATATGATGGCATAGCAGAATAGATTTTGACACTAAATAGGTGGACATAAGTAAAGCACAATTTAAAAAGCGTTAATTCTGTCAGATTAATGTTTAAGTAGTGGCATATCAATTTTAACTGTAAAGATAATTTTAAATAGCATAAAAACAAACTAAAACAGTTATAACTGATGTAAATATTATTCTATTTAAATTAAAAATGAAATCAATAGCATGAAACTTCTGTATAAAACATGGATATTATTATGTAGGCTTATTATTAGTTATTAGTAATGTATAAATGTGATACATAATAAATGACGAATTACAATAGCTTTGATATAAATATAATAATCCATGTTATAATTGAAATTAGTCGTAAAAAGTATAAGCTATCACATAATTCACAATTAGATAAAAAGAAGATCCAAACTAATATTTATGTCATGGCTTTTTAAAATTGAAAGTCTTGCTTAACTAAACTATATTGATCTTTGATCTTTAAAGAAAAAAAACAATGATGTTGAATCATAATCTTTATAAAAAAAATGATATCTCTCTGTATGACAGTACATTTAATTGTCTGCACATTATCATTTCATGTCAATTACATAAAATTATTATTTTTTGTATAACACAGCAATAATTTATGGGATATTTTAATAAAATCCATTTAGGCTGTTGGGCATGGACAATAATCATTTTGTTAGTTTTGTGTTAAATACGTTTCACCACATTGCGTTTAGTAATAAATTTTAAATAGTACAGGCGGTGTGAGTGAATGAGAAAAAGTAAAAAAGGTGTTTGTGTAAAAGTATTGTACTAAGGGCATTATTATGTTTATTATTTTTGCAGTATGATTTATGACTTTGAATAAAATATGTTGAAAAGTAATTTAAAGAAAACAATGTACACACGTTTCGATTACTCAAGCTAAAGGGTTAAAAATTGAGTAGGTTATTTTTACATACAAACTATAATAGCCACAAGCGTTCCAATCAGGTACTCAGCATGTGGTACTGCTTGAATTTACTGCCTGAAAAGCTATTCGCGTTAATCGTAAATGCTTTATGAATTACTCATATAACATTAGTAACAGTAGTGTTCACCCCATTATGGTTTTCGAAACTTGCAGGGAGAATGATTATATTAGTCGAGGAAATTATATTCTCAAGTCGAGGGTGATTTCAAACTTTAAGCTAATGTGAAATATACACTTTTTGTCAATAAAGCAAAACAAATGAACAAACATTACTTGAAGTTATACATTGGCGCCAGCAAAAATCACCTTAATGACTTACTGATTTCATTAAATCATCGCATTTAGGTCAAAATATCTCATTTTTTACGACCAGTTTATGCCATGTTGTGGTATGTTAAGTGGGGAAGTAGTAAATTAGAAAAATAATTTTCTTCAAGCGAAAATCAACTTACCATAATACTATAGTAAAAATATTATATGCTTAAAGTTCGTCTCTGTATTGATGTTCGAATCTGTGCGTCCGCATTGCTTTTCAGGATGTACTTTCATCACTCGTAGTGTACCTATAGAAGAGTAAAAATATTGTTCATCATTTTTAAAATATGCCAGTCTTATCGTTGCTGCTAACAGAGATGCCATTGTCGATGTATGTGGCTGTACCCGGAGATTTATAGTAGTTTAGGCCGTGGATATAAGATAAGTATACATATTTATGTATTGAATTGCTCGTTATAAATTACGATACCGCGTACCTCTGTACCCAAAAACTCGCTGGTTTGTCCGAAATGCGAAAATCGTATTTCTAAAACGCCATTATTTATGTACATTCACCTTCGAATATGTTTGTCGGATATTTAAATAATAACGTGGTAATAAAATAAAGCTCCTAGTCAAATAATGATAATAAATATTAATTTAAACATGTATTTTTTTGGAGATCGTTTTATAAAATATGTTATAGAAACTTATAAGCATACAGGGCGCCCTACGAACGTTTACGAAGCCAAGTAACGGATGAAGTTATTTGTACCGTGTGTTAAATTTTCATAATTGATGAAATTTTTAATCAAAACTGGTTATGTTATGTCTGATTTTGCGTATAATAAATTCATTATTTTAAATATTTCCAAACGCAAGTTATATTAATGTTCAATACATTTAGTTAATATTTTGTTTCGTTATTAAAAAGAAAAATCAATATTAAAACTTTTGTGATTTTTATAATTATTTCAACTGATCTTAGTTTAAAATAATTTTTTTTATATTTGAGCTATTATAGATAAAACACGGTAATTATCGTCTTCCAATTAACAGATAATAATGGAATTCCACGAAAAACGTTTTATCTATACGATTACATACTTAAAAACATATACACATTAAAAGAGGTTCGGTGTAATACTATCCAAACATATTTTTGTTATAATAAATAATTATTGACAATAAAATATTTATATTTAATGTAGATACTTAAAAGTACTCTAACATTATTTCGAGTTATGGAAAACACTTAAACGTTAAATTATAAAATTTTAGTGTCGTCATAAATATTAAAGATCTCGAATAATTTACTTACTGTTATTGGAAAATTACATTTTAATAAGGACATTGAACTGCAGTATAACAAAGAAAATACCAAATATTTCAATTTGACATAAACTTAATTAGGTCACTCACACTTTTTGTGCAGAAAAGATTATAACCGCAACTGACTATAATAAGTTTATCAAATCATTTCCGAGTAATGCTCCAGCAATTATTTTAAATGCCTTTTAAAATAAGTGTCAGATATACTTTGTGTTTGTGTGGAATCTGAACGTTTGACAACAGCAAACCAATTATCTATAACGAATACAATAATTCATAAAGTATTATGTTATTATATTAGCGCCGGGCCTGTGTCAGACGGCAAATAAAAAAGAGCTTTATGTGTAATTTAAACGATTAATGCTTCAAGAATGCTATTGAAACTCGAGGAATGCAAAATTCTTATTGCGTTTTATAACATACCTCATAATCTTATCTGTCGCGTATTGCGCAATTCGTCACACAGTACAATTCAATTGTAAAAGTAATTGATTTCGTCGGAAGGCTTTGTCGTCTCACCACTCGAGTGTTCGAGTACCAATTATTTATATTATTATTAAAGGTACAGCTTTCTTTATTGTCACAGATACCTAGTCTTCTGACACCGCCGCCGTCTCCAGTATCGCTACTAAATCAATTTACATAACCACGTGTTATTATCACAAGAAGTGCTTTATAAATATTCGAATGGCACTAATAAAAGCGGGTGTGCTCTTTTGTACGGTTTAAAACACTCGTGAGAAACAGTCCCGAGTGATATTATTGTTGTGGTAGAACTGTTATTGGAACTAAAAAAGTATTGTAATATTTATTTACTAAGCTCGCTGCATGACATAGTCTCCGATCAAAATATGTGTCAGGCTGCATCGGACATATCGGCACATGAAACAACTGATATGCCCGCATGTCTTATCAGGGTAGGTCATCGATCACATTAGACCATTGGTATCTAAATAATATAATGGATAAGAGATATTACCCAGGTCGATCTGTTAGCGTGGGCGCGCGCAATCGGATTAACCGAAAACAATTTTTTGAAAATACTGATCCAGACATAGATGTCTGCGGAACGGGTGAATAAAATGGAATAGAATGCTTCTTAATATTATGACTGTAGGTACGGCAGATTGTGGAAAATGAGAATACATTATTATCTACAACAAATATAAAGGTTGACTGCCAGTTTAACCCCTTGGACCTAACGCTAGATGATTTTCATTCAGCTGGGAGATTACCGCGGTGTTCTGAGAGGGCTAATGATAAACATAACCGGACCACACCGTTTTACTACTACACACAGTTTGATCATATCTTGGCAGTATACAGGTACTGTGGTATAACACCTCAATGGAAAACATGATGTGCACCTTGACTTCTGTACAGCAGTCGATCACGTACAGGTGTTTGAGCGGAATTGATTTCCCAATTCCCATGCATCTTCTCCAGCATCAGATTAGATAACTAATATGAAGAAAAAATTGTTTATCATTGAGTCTTGTTCGTTTAAATAAATTTTTACTTTATAACGCTCATTCAAAAAATTAATTACTTAGCCTATTGAACAGTTATTATGTCACCTATAATTAATTATGACCTACATAATAATGCATGCAAAATTACTATGGGTATTAATTATTTTGTGATTATTTTCTCACGATAAATAAAGTAAATACGTAACAGCTATTTTAAAATATAGTTTTAGTTTTCATTTTTGACCTATTTAAAACATATTATGATCTAAAAATCTTGTAAAATTGATTACGGTACGCAAGTGATAAAATATAATGAAGTATAGTATATTTTGTATAAATTTTCTAATTATTCAATTGTAAAAATAAAATTTTAAAAAGTACACGTGAGTCAAAACATCTGCATTTCTTTAGAAATGACTCTTTTATTGTGTTTAATGTCCAGAATAAACTGTAGCGTGGCCAAATTACTGTTCATTCTAATATTACAACAAAAACTTTAAACCTATTATAGAATTTGAAATAGATATGATTCATAGAGTGTCATTGACAGGAGAAGACTTAACAACTCGGAAAACTCTATGAGTAATTTGAACCACTTGTTGGTATAGAATGAGGTGTGGTAAATAATGGATTCACATTTATCATTATTATGTTAAAGTAAATACGTAACGGATCATTTTGCACAAATACTTAGCGGTTTTTATATTTCTTCAATAATTTATTTTTAATTTATTAAAAAAATTTGAGTTATAATAATAAATTTTTTTTCTCATGTAATAATATTAAAAAAATAAACAATATTATATTGATCTAAATTATTGAATCTTAAACATTTTTTTTTTTAGATTAAATTAATTTTTATAAACTCTTGAGTTATATTTATATTGAGAGACGGAATTAACATCATGCGCATTGCGTGTAAATTTTCTTGCAGCGAAATTGTGTAATAAATGTATGTCTGTGTTTGTTTATATAGTAAAATTATCAAATTAAGTAAAGGTAACAATCGATATAAAGTTTTTTTAAACGGTTAACCCTTTACACAATAATAATATGTTTGAGTTTTAAAAGAACCCTTACATTTTTTGTAGCTATTAAGTGGCAGCTGACTTTTGGACACATGTGCGGAACCCTCATTTCCGATAAAATCATTCGAAAACAAGGAAAACTATAATTATTGTCGATCAAACCGTTTTTGAAATATCATTTGATACATTAACAATTGCTGTATAAGACAGCAAATGATTGAAATGAATGTGACTGATATGGAGTTTATGCATTTGCTCATTTAAATATTTAAAATCATTCGGAATTCTATTCTTCTGAGAGTTTATTCTAATAGTGAATACTTTTATTCCTTTTATGGTTTCAACCTATTGTTCAGTTTGTTGTTCGATGGTTTATAAGATTTTTTTACGGTTAAATATTGATAGAATAATAATAGCTAGGAAAATAATCCTTTTTTGGATGTCTCACAGAGAACATGATTACATTACGTAGACAAAAAGAATTGATATGACTTAGAAAGGATATTAAACTTAAATTATATTAGTTTTTTTTGTTAAAAACTTTTAATAGCTATAAATAAAATTCGCGAATTAAGTTTCTGTTACTACATTCATCTTATAATATAAAATGAGTAAATTTTTCTTATAAATTATAATGATCTAAAATTAAGTAAACAACTTTAGTTTACGATAATTGGTTCAATATTCCAAAAAATATTTTTATTAAACATAATAAAGGTTACCATTTAAGATAGAAAACTAAAATTATAACACGGCCAAGTCTAAAAACCCAGCACAAGAGTGTTGCGGCACAGTGGTGACGTGGCATAGATGGATCAAGTATAATGATATCTGACAGTGATTAAAATCACTTTAAAAAAAAAACGCTTCGATGCAAATTTTTAGATAGTGTTTAATTTTAAAAAATTTGGTGAATTATTCCAAAAGCTACATGATCTGCTAGTTCATTATTAATATCCTAATTAAGATAAAGTATGCAGAGATTATTAAAAAATATTATTTCTCATAAAAAAATAATGTTGATCCATAGACTTTTCAATATGTCATAGCATTATAAAGTTAAAAATGTAAATAATAAAATCGAGAATTTTCACACAATAAAAGCATTCGGTAGCCATTTTCACTGTGAAGATAAAAGAAAGTCCAAAATTTATTTTTTTGCATAATAAAGTAAATTACATTAGCTTTAATTTAAGATATATATAAAAGTGTCAGACTTTCCGGAACACTTTCAAAATTTAAGTTGAAAAAGTAAATTTTTTGTGAAAAGTTGTCATTTTAAATCCCCCCCTGTGGGCAAGTAAATTATCAGATATGAAAAAAAAATATACCAAATGAAAGGTAATGATATCATGCATCTATATAAAAAAAAATTATATTGATATGTTCATTTTTAAAAAAGTTATGGCAGTTTTTAGTAAAAAAAATTGAAACAATTTTGAAAATTAGCGATTTTTAAATTTGTAATTTTTTTTACGGGAAACGAGGGATTTTTTTTCAATTTTTGAAGGCAATGTCTTCGACTAGATACAATTTGTGATCTTTTGACGTATCATTGAAAGAATTCGGTTCGGTGAGAGCTGAGAAAAAGTGGTAACAGATACCAAAAAAAAAAAAACACATCTTAGTAAAACCAATACCTTCTCAGCTTCGCATCAAAGCTAAAATGTATACAATTTTTTTATAAATTTTTAATAAGTTAATTTTGTTAAATATTATTTTTATAATTAGTAACTAAATCAACAAGGTATAACTACTCCTAAAAACATGTTTTCTAGATAGTACACTCAGACATTTTTATTTATTAAATAACATCCTATTTACTTAACTTACATATTTTAGTACAACATTTGGCTAATTCGCAGTACTTTGAAAAATAATATCTGGTACGGATCAATTAAGTTAAGAATATTTATTCTTACTCAGATGCCAACTCTATGGTTTTGGAGCTTTTATATATTCTTATTAAAAAAATGACTGCATATTTATTTTGGCTTAAAAAGTTTTTAACTCTTAATCCTTTAAAATTATCTATTAGCACTTTTTAATACTCAAAAAACCTTTTTGCTATAATATTTTAAATTATACCATAAAATTGTATTTTTACTTAGAATAAACCTTTAATGTTTAGTTTGGCTAATAGGTTTGATTCAATTAAACGCCTACTAAAAGATAACTACCATGTTGTTTTGATGAAATCTCTATAAATCATTATTATAAGTAGCGTTGTAATTTGGCATGTTTTCAAAAACAATGTTATAATCTAAATATACAAATCTTGGTATATTATTATTGGAACATAATTTTTATTTTTGAAAACACCATATTACTTAAATTATATCATTACTATGATTGCAGGTTTTATATTACAAATTTCAAAACTAGATTCAGATACACATTTTGTGTCGCGCCTTGTCATAGTTTTGTCTATATTTATAGTCCAATGAACGTCTGGATTAGTATGATCTATGGGCCATATTTATAGTAATATATATATGTATTATAATATTTATTTCTAAGGAGATAAAAACTATATCAACATAATAAATCAAAAGAGTCTTTAAAGTTTGTGTAATATGTTATTTTGTGCAATTTAGCTTATAAAGATTACTGTAATTTATGCAAATTGCTCTATACCTAAAATACATTTTGATATATTTTTTCAAGTTTGTATGAAAATAACTTATCCTATATATAAGTTTACATATTGAGAGTATCTATTATAATTCGAATGTATAACCTCACTTATCATTTAATCGAGAACTAAAGAGGAAATCTCATCACGTGTATTCTCTATTTATTTGAACTATTGAGAACTGATAGTACTTTGAAATCTTTGATTGAAAAATACACATGCGTTTTATAATATCGTGGTCATTGTCACATTTATTCTTTGGACACGTGAAGTGTGCACTCTGTAAATGTTATTCGTATAAAATCACACAGCAGCCTTCTTACTCTCATACAAGTAGAAGAAGGGTAGTTCGTGGATGAAACAATCACATTCAGCTAACAATAATGCTGTCAATCATTTGCACGCGAGGGGGTTGCAAGCAGCTCTCTTTTTTTGACGTTTCAATACAATTCGATTATGCCAAATACGTTTACAGTACGAGACACTA